CACATTCTCTTCTTCTGTGTTTAGTTCATTCAACTGATTTTTGTAGCAAACAGTTGATCAACATACTTGAACGTCGCCTCATTAGGTCGCCTTTCAAGAATAGCAGCTTCTCCATTGTGCCTTTCATAGTCATGCATCTCTTTGTTAGTTTGTGTTTGCACCTCACTTTTTCTTTTAATACATCATTTCTCACATGCTATGAACCTATCAAAGACTCCAACTTTGTCTGTTGTTTGAGTCTCAAATTTATCCACAATAGATAAATGATAAATTGAGCTTCTTGAAGAGTATAGCCTGACTGCATTTCTTTTTTTTTTTTAGAATCCTGCTTGCTAGAAGGAAAACATGGCAACTTACTACCGACATTATGAACTGAATCATGATAAATTGAGTAACCAATTTCATTAATAGGCGTTCTCCATAGTGAGTTTTGCAGACAGTTAGAATATCTGCTCGTTGGACTATAAATGTCACCTTATTGGATCACACATTTTGTTTTAAAATAGATTTGCCTTTTGGATTTAGTGCAGCCAGAGTATTATTCATTTCTTCAATTTGTCGTTGTAGGTTAATCATTTGTTGCATAAACATATATTGCCAATCCGCTTGTTGATTTTTATCGGGTTAGTCTTCCTTTCTCTTAAAAAAGACTTCTTTTCCATAAAACATAAACAAATAAAATCTTATAACACAACCACTTCAAACTCACATTAAATAGGACACAACAAGTCTTTACAACTTATAATAAAACAGGACACAACAACACTTGAACTTTCATTAAAACAGGACACAACAAGACCTTATAACTTAAAATAAAACATGATGCAATGCCACCTTACAACTTATCAAAGCTTTAAGAAGAAATATGATGCAAGCATGAATGTAAGTAAGAAAACACTAAAAAAGCAATTGACAACGCTCCATTTTAATATAACATAAACATATACAAATATTGAAAACTAAGTAGGAAACAAAATATAGAAAATTGATAAGAAGACACACAAAATAACCAAATAACAAAATTAAAATACCCTCAGAACAACCTTGTAAGGTCACCTCACATGCAAATCACGAAAATAGAGAATGATGCTTAAAAGAAAAATAAAACCAGTGGTTCACCACAGAAATTATGATTCAGCTCAAGTCGGTGTTCTCTAGCAAATACCAATAAGTGGGGCATAACAACACCTTACACTCACAATATTTGAAGAAAAAATATATAGGTGAAAGGGAAACCATGGAGAGAAAATTGGATAGAAGATCAAGACGAAATTGAAAAAAATATGGTAAAAGAAGATTGCTCGCAAGCTAAATAAACCGTAGGTTTTAGTGTGATTACACCATCAACAATAACAACCAACCTCTTCCAGCAACAAAACAACCAATATATAGTAGAATGGGAGAAATGTTTAGAAATTGCTTACTTAATTATGCCGCCGAAAAAGCCAATAGAAGCCTCTCAAGTTAACCCATTTAATGTAGAGTTAATGCACTTAGTATATGAAAACAACAAGGTGGAAACCTAACAGTAGAAGTAGTGAAAATGGAATAGCAGCATGGGGAAAGCCAGCAGTAGAGAAAGACAACAACATGAGGAAAAACAACCAGCATAGGGAAAGAGTTGGGTCAAGCCCAATAAGCAAAACAAGCCAAAATAAATACCCAACTAACTACCAAAGATGCTAGATAAACACAAGTGGAAACCAAAGGAGTTAAACTTCATAATAGCACCAAATCCAAGAATAATCATGAGTTGTTTTCCATCGTAGGGTCATACAAAATAAACATATATAGATTTAAAAAACATAAGGAAAAAAGAAATAATATAAAAGACATAAAATGGTAAAACATGATTCCTTCAATTCTCTTTTAGTGAAAGAATCTCATGTCATGATGAGAATGCTTCAGTCATCCGCTCGTAGATATCAGGATGACTAAGCGGCAATTTCCCATCTTCAACTGTCAGTCAGGGGGATGTCCGTTCCATCTAACCAAGAGTCGTCGGTGCACTCCATATCTTGTTTGAGTAGTATAAATATCCACAACATCATCAGGAATAGTAAGGGGCAAAGTCCCACACAAGTACACAACTATATGCTTTTAGCACCACCTGTTAATATTTTTTTAATAATGGAAGGATTTTTTTCAAAATAAGGCTTTACATAATATGTGATTGATCCAACTTTTTTCAAAAAAGCTCAATATCTTTTGATACAATAATGTTAACCAAATCATCATTGTCAAGGAAAATAATTGATGATAAACCTTTACTTAATGCAGTTAGATTCATCAACTCAAGTTGTTCATCCTCTGTAGGTTGCATGTTCCCCTCAATATTTTAATGAGCTATAAAGCTTTTATTTGCAGCTTCATCCATGCCCGTTGTCCCCAATTGCAGTTCTTATTGCTGCCTCACATTCTCTTATTCTATGTTTACTTCATTCAGCAATTTTTTGTAGCAGATAGGTTGATCAACATAGTGCAACGTCGCCTCATCATATCACTTTTCAAGAATAGCAGCTTCTCCATTATGCCTTTTACGATCATGTATGTCTTTGTCAGTCCGTGTTTGCAGCTCACTCTTTCTTTTAATACATCATTTCTCACATGTTATCAACCTATCCAAGACTTCAACTTTGTTTGCTATTTGAGTTTCAAATTTATCCACATTATCATCGACTGGATAAATGATAAACCGAGCATCTTGAAGAGCATAACCTAAGAACATTTTTTTTATTTTTTTATTTAAAAAAAAACTAGCAATATTTTTTGTTTTGAGGATGTTACTTTCCAGAAGTAAAACATAATAACTTACCACCAACAGTATGAACTGAATGAATATTAATTCAAAAGCCAACTTCATCAACAAGCTTTCTCCAAAGTAAGTTTTGCAGACAGCTAAAATCTTCTCGTTGGAATATAGATGTCACCCTATTAGATCCCGCATTTTGATTTAAAATAAATTTGCCTTTTGGATTTAGTGCAGTCAGGATATTGGACATTTCTTCCATTAATTGTTGTAGGTTAACCACTTGTTGAATAAAGATATATTGCTAATATGCTTTTTGATTATTTTGACTATCTTTTTTTTAAAGAGAAAGGAAGACTCACCTGAGAACCTAAATATCTTATACTAAATTGATGCACTATAAAAATAATTGCGATATCAAACAAAAGAATTCCTTCCATAAAACATAAACAAACAAAACTGTAGAATACAACGACTTCAAACTCACATTAAACAGGGCACAACAAGTCCTTACAATTACAATAAAACATGACATAACAACACTTCAACATTAAATAGAACAGGACACAATTATACCTTAGAACTTAAAATAAAACACGACGCAATGATGCACTACAATTTATCAAAGTTTTGAGAGTACTAGAAATGCAATTGACACAACCACCTTTCAATATAATATAAACATACGCAAATATTAGAAACTTAATAGGAATCAAAACTTAAAAAAATGATAAAAAGACACACAAAATAACCAAACAATTAAATTAAAATACCCTCAGAACAATCTTATAAGGTCACCTTACATGCAAATCGTGAAAACAGAGAATGGTGCTCAAAGAAAAAATTAAATAAGTGGTTCGCCAAAAAAATTATGATCCAGCTCAAGTCGGCGTGTCTCCGGCAAATACCAACAAACAGGGCATAACAAACAATATTTGGAGAAGTAAGATACATGTATAAAGGAAATCGTGGAGAGAATATTAGATAAAAGATCGAGACGAAATAGAAAAAGTAATGTAGATGAAGATAGCTGAAAAGCTAAATAACTCGCAGGTTTTTCTGTGACTACACGAGCAACAATAACAACCAACCTCTTCCAAAAATAAAACAACTCATGCATATAGGGGAAGATTGGGGGAAATGATCATAAATTGCTCAATTATGCCCTCAAACAGCCAATAGAAGCCTCTCAAGTTAACCAATTTAATAAGGAGTTAATGCACTTAGAATAGAAAAATAAAAAGGTGAAAACCTAACAACTAGCAGCAGGGCAAAACATGAAGGGAAAAATAGCCAGCATAGGGAAAGCCACTAGTAGGGAAAACGGGACTGCAACATGGGAAAAACAGCCAGCATAGGGAAAGGCAGCAGCAGGAAAAATAGGACAACAACATTGGGAAAAATAACCATCATAGAAAAAGAGTTGGGCCAAGCCCAATAAGCAAAACATGTCAAACTAAATAACCTACTAACCACCAAAGAAGCTAGATCAACACAAGTGGAAACCAAAGGAGTGAAAATTCCAAAGAGCACCTAATCAAAGCATTATCATGAGATGTTTTCCTTGATAGGGCCATACAAAATAAACTTATATACCATCCAAAAACATATGGAAAAAAGAAATAAAATAAAAGTCATAAATTGATAAAACGTGATTACAAAAATTCTCTCATAGTGGAAGAATCTCATATCCTGATGAGAATGCTTCAGTCATCTGTTGGTAGATATCAGGATGAAGAAGCTGCAACTTCTCATCTTTAACTATCCGTCAAAGGGATGTCCTTTCCATCTAACCAAGAATCGGTTGTGCACTTCATGTCTTGTTTGAGTAGTACGTATATCTACAACATCATCAGGAATAGTAAGGGGAGTCCCACACAAATTTATGCTTTTATCATCATCTTTTAATATCTTTTCAATAATAGAAATATTTTTTTTTTCAAAATAAGGCTTTAAATGATATGTGATTGAACCAACTCTTTCAAAAAGCTCAATATCTTTTAATAGAATACTACTAATCAAAGTATCATTGTCATGGAAAGTAATGGATGATAAACTTTTATTTAACACAGTTAGATTCATCAAATCAAGTTGTTCATCCTCTATAAGCTTCATGTTCTCTTCAATATTTTAATGAGCTATAAAGGTTCTATCAACAGCTTCCTCCATGGTCGTTGTCTCCAATTGGAGTTCTTCTGACTGCCTTACATTCTCTTCTTTTATGTTTACGTCATTCAACTGCTTTTTGCAGCAGACAGGTTGATCAACATTCTGCAACGTCGCCTCATCTGATCGCCTTTCAAGAAAAGCAAGTTCTCCATTATGCCTTTCATGGTCGTGCATTTTTTTGTTAGTTTGTGTTTGCACCTTACTCTTTATTTTAATACATCGTATCTCACATGCTACCAACCTATCCAAGACTTCAACTTTGTCTACTGTTTGAGTGTCAAATTTATCCACAATATCATCAGCTGGATAAATGATAACTAAGCATTTTGAAAAACATAGCATGACTGCATTTCTTTTTTTTGAGGATGTTGATTTTTAGAAAAAAACATGACAATTTACTGCCAAAATTATGAATTGAATCAGGATAAATTAAAGAAACCAACTTCATCAATATGCGTACTCCAAAGTGAGTTTTGTATATAGCTAGAACCTGCTCGTTGGAATATAGATGTTATCTTATTGGATATGACATTTTGTTTTAAAATAGATTTGCCTTTTGGATTTAGTGCAGCCAGGGTATTAGTCATTTCTTACATTTGTTGTTGTAGATTAACAATTTGTTCCATAAACATATATTGCCAATCCGCTTGTTGATTATTTTGACTATTCATTTTTTTTAAGAGAAAGGACGAATCGCCCGACAACGTAAATTTCTGATGCCAAATTAATGCAATCTAAAAATAACTAAGTTAGACAAAAGGCTTCCTTCCATAAACATTAACAAATAAAAACTTAGAATGCTACCTGATGCGGACATCGGCACGAAGATCTGACGCATCTATCACAGGAGGCGTCGTAAATCGACGGCTCTAATTTAAATTGTCATTTAAATTTTATTTTATGAATTTTAGCTATTATTTTATATTATTTCCTATTTTACCCCTAGGTTAGTTTATTTGAGTGTTATGGCCCAAGGGGCATTTTTGTAATTTTTTTATTTTCTCATGTTATGGCCTATATATAGGGCCTTAAGCTATTGTAATAGGATGGTTAATGAATATGAAAATTTTATTTTTTTACACTTGTGTTCTTTCTTGGGAGAGAGCGAGAGTGAGATTTTTATGAGAGAAATCGAGAGTTTCACCAGCCGCAGGATGGGTCCGGGCTCGTGACGTGAAGTCCCTTGGAGAAGGGCAACGCAATACCCACCAGTCATTGGAAGAGTCCGTGGCTCGTGGTCGTTATCTTTTCCCTTCATCTTTCTTCCCTACCCGCCACCATCCCCAATAGCTCCCAAGCCGCCGCTGTTGCATCTTTCGTTTTATCTTATATCGTTGTTTTGTTTTGTTTTGTCATTTTTGCCTCCTCCCTCAACTTCACGATCCAAGCTCCATACCGAGCCCTCATACCGCCGGCCCAATCTTTAGCTGCCGGCCACCAATCCACCACCTCATCCCCATTGAACTCCTTTCCTAATTTGGGGTGCATGATATTAGGGCTTAATTTGAAATTCAAATTTATTTCCTAATTTAGTCCACCTATTTTGGAAAGTGTTTAATTACATTCAATTGAAATTTAAATTCAAAATACGATTTATTGGCTCACTTTCATAACTCCTAAATTCAAATCTATGAGCATTAAATCACCTCATTCAAAGCCCCCCCTTGTTTCATGCAAGCCGCCGGCTCCCTGGATTTGAATTGGGATTTATTTCCTAAAGTACATAATCCTATTTTAGGCAATTGATCCAAGCCACGTTAATTTCCCTCTAGCCGAATTTCCACCAAGCCTTTTCTATTTGATTCCAATAGGAAAGTCCTATTTTGGAAGTAAATCAATTCTTTATTTCCCTCCCTCTCTCCACCGCCTCTCTTGCAGCAACTCTCCACTTCTCTATTTCAATTTCATTCCCGTAACTCCCCACCTGGCTGAATCTCCCAAATTCCCCAATGCCTGCAGTTATTTCTTAAATCAAATCGTTGATTTAGGAAATCAATTCCCTTCCTTCCCTTTTTCTCTCTCCAAGACCTCTCTTAACTCACGGCTAAATTCTTCATCACAGTTCCCTACCTACCACACTTGGAAAAATCTGAAATTCTACTCAGATTTCAATAGCAAAATCTGAAATTGTTTCAATTTTGCTGGGACAGAAAATTGGAAATTTTGAACTGAATTCTTCCTAAAGCCTACCCAGGATTTTGTGGTTCTCTTTGAGAAGAGCTTGGGCTATCAACCTGCTATTGGGAAATCCGAGATTCCTCTTAGATTGTGGAGAAGAGAGCCATTCACGGAAGAAATCATCTCATAACTGCTCTAGGCAAAATTTCTGGTGCATAACCTGTAGCTTGATCCCTCTCCATAGCAAAGCGGCTATTCGTTCTACATCACTACCACTTTAAACTCACATTAAATAAGACACAATAAGTCCTTACAACTTACAATAAAACATGACACAACAATATCTTAGAACTTAAAATAAAATATGACGCATTCACGCCTTACAACTTATCAAAGTTTGTAGAAAAAAGATGCAGGTAGGAATGCAAGTAAGATAACACTAGAAATGCAATTGACACCGCCACCTTTCAGTATAACATAAACATACACAAATATTATAAATTTAGTAGGAATCGAAACTTAGAAAATTAATAAAAAGGCACACAAAATAACCAAACAACTAAATTAAAATACCATCAGAACAACCTTATAAGGCAACCTCACATGGAAATCGTGAAAAAAGAGAGTGGTGCTCAAAGGAAAAAAATCAAACAAGTGGTTCACCATAGAAATTATGATCCAGCTCAATTCAGCGTACCTCCGGCAAATACCAACAAATGGTGCAGCACAACACTTTACACTCACAATATTTAGAGAAGAAAGATACAAGTGGAAGGGAAAGCATGAAGATAAGATTAGATAGAAGATTGAGACTACTAAATTGAAAAAAATAAGGTAGAAGAAGCTAGTTTTTAAGCTAAATAACCCGCTTGTTTTAGTGCGGTTACACCAGCAACAAAATAACCTATGTATATAAGAGAAGAAAGGGGGGAAATGATCATAAATTGCTCACTTAATTATGCCGTCCAAACATAAAATAGAAGCCTCTCAAGTTAACCCATTTAATAAGTTAATGCACTTCTTATAGAAAAACAACAAGGTGAAAACCTAACAACCAACAACAAGGAAAAACAGGACATCGACATGGGGAAAAATAACAACCATAGGGAAAGCCAGCAGTAGGAAAAACGGGACCACAACATGGGAAAAAGTAGCCACCATAGTGAAAGTCAACATTAGGAAAAATGGGGAAAAACAACCATCATAGAGAAATAGTTGGGCCAAGCCCAATAAGCAAAACAGGTGAAAATAAATACTCAATTAATCACTAAAGAAGCTAGATCAACAGAAGTGGAAACCAAACGAGTGAAACTTCTTATAATAAGCATGATCATGGATTGTTTTACATCATAGGGCCATGCAAAATAAACTTATATAGCATCCAAAAATATAAGAAAAAAAATAAATAAAATAAAAGATATAAAATGATAAAACATGATTCTATAAATTCTCCTATAGTGGAAGAATCTTATCTCCTGATGAGAATGCTTCAATCATCCGCTAGTTGATATCAGGATGACGAAGCTATAACTCCTCATCTTCAGCTGTTAGTCACGGGGATGCTCATTTTGTCTAACAAAGAGTCGTCGGTGCACTCCTTGTTTTGTTGGAGTAGTACGAATATTTACAACATCATTAGGAATAATAAGGGGCAAATTCCTGTACAACTCTATACTTTTAGCAGCACCTTTTAAAATCTTCTAAATAATGGAAGGATTTTTCTCAAAATAAGGCTTTAAATGATGAACCAACTCTTTCAAAAAGCTCAATATCTTTTGATAGAATACTGCTAACAAAAGTATCCTTATCATGGAAAATAATGGATGATAAACATTTACTTAATGCTGTTAGATTCATCAACTCAAGTTGTTCATCCTCTAGAAGCTGCATGTTTCCCTCAATATTTTGATGAGCTATAAATGTTTTATCAATAACTTCCTTTATGACCGTTGTCCCCAATTACAGTTGTTCTAGTTGCCTCACATACTCTTCTTCTATATACTTCATTCAGTGGCTTTTTGCAGCTGACATGTTTATCAACATACTGTAATGTCACTTCATCAGATCATATTTCAAGAATAACAGCTTCATACACGGTCATGCATCCTTTGTCAGTTTGTGTTGCACCTCACTCTTTCTTTTAATACCTCTTTTTTCACATGCTACCAACCTATCCAACATTTCAACTTTGTCTGTTGTTTGAGTTCAAATTTATCCACAATATCATCGACTGTATAAATAATAAACTGAGCATCTTGAAAAGCATAGCTTGACTGCATTTTTTTTAAGGATGTTGCTTCCTAGAAGGAAAGCATGACAACTTACTACCAACATTATGAACTTAACTAGGATTAATTGAAGAACCAACTTTGTTAATAGACGTTCTCCAAACTGAGTTTTGCAGATAGTTAGAATCCGCTCGTTGGAATATAGATGTCACCTTATTGGATCCTGTATTTTGTTTCCAAATAGATTTGTCTTTTCAATTTAGTGCAGCCAAGGTATCAGTCATTTCTTCCATTTGTTGTTGTAAGTTAACCATTTGTTGCATAAACATATATTTCCAATTCGCTTGTTGATTATTTTAAATTTCTATTTTTTAAGTCAAATGAAGACTCACCCAACAACCTAAATCTTTGATACCAAATTGATGCACTCTAAAAATAACTAAGATCGTAAATAAAGGACTTCCTTTCATAAAACATGCACAAACAAAACCTTAGAAGACAACCAATTCAAACTCACCTTAAACATGACTACATAACGAGTCCTTATAATTACAATAAAACATGACACAACAATACTTAAACATTCAATAAAATAGGACACAAGAATACCTTAGAACTTAAAATAAAATATGACACAATGACACAGTACAACTTATCAATGCTTTAAGAAGAAAGATGCAGGTAGAAATGTAAGTAGGAGAATACTAAAATGCAATTGACAATGCTTCCTTTCAATATAGCATAAACATACACAAATATTAAAAACTAAGTAGGAAACAGAACTTAGAAAATTGATAAGAAAACACACAAAATAACCAAATAATTAAATTAAAATACCCTTAGAATAACCTTGTAAGGTAACCTCACATGAAAATGACGAAAATAGAGAATGGTGCTCAAATAAAAAAATCAAACAAGTGATTCGCCACATAAATTATGATCCAGCTCAAGTTGGTGTGCCTCCGGAAATACCAACAAACAGGGCACAATAACACCTTACAATCACAATATTTGGAGAAGAAAGATTCAGGTAGAAGGAAACATAAGACCGAGACAAAATAGAAAAAGTAAGGTAGAAAAAGATAGCTCACAAGCAAAATACCCCTTAGGGTTTATTGCGATTACACCAGCAATAATAGCAACCAACCTCTTCTAGTAACAAAACAACTTATATATATATATATATATATAGAGAGAGAGAGAGAGAGAGAGAGAGAGAGAGAGAGAGAGAGAGAGAG